TTGATCACTGGTGAATTAATATTTGAATCACTACTGTAAAGTACAGTAAGTTGAAGTGGACAAAAATGTGGCGCATGTCGTAGCTGGTCAAATTTGAGAAAAATTCCGAAGTTTCAAGAAATTAAAGCTGCGGCTGTTCTCAGTTGTTGGGTACGAAGAAGTTCAGTTCACGAAGGATACTCTCCTGGGTGTGGGATGTTATGAAAGTCCCTTCGAATTCTGGTACAGTCCGTCTAGGGATACATTCTAAAACCGAATTGTCCTCGAACGATCGGTAGTCAATAGAATCACTTTCTCAAATCGCGTTGTTGTTGGTATAATCGCGTGTTGCACTTTTTGCAGTTCAAAATTGCCGCAGCGTCGTAAAAACGAATCAAATTCAACTGTGCACCTCAAGCTGCAAAAGATGCACCAGATAGCTACGCGTTTAGCTTTGAAAAGTTTAGAATCCCAGAGGAGATTCATTTATGAGCGTTTCTTTTCTGAATATTTTTTCAATACCAAGTTTTCAAAGTTTTCAAAAATTATTGACGGAGTGAAGCGAAGTACTGAAGTAGATTTACCGTGAATTTCAACCGGCATATTTCGAGATTTACAAGATGATACTGTATTATATTAAAAAAAGCTCTTTTAATTTCCTCTGAATCTAAAAAAGAATGGATTAGCTAGATTCGAATCTATGGCGAAAAAGTCGTCCACGTGAACTCCGTAAAATGGGCTGAAACGCCGTTTCTGGTAAAGAAAAATTATAAATATCCATCCAAGTTCTTTGTTGTCACATTGGATCAAGAAAATTTTTAATGTTTTCTATGTGCGCATAGATACACTATCTCAGTTCGTCGGAAATTATTGATAGAATGGAATGGTACCGAGAAATAACGTCGACATTTTTATGTACTCTTTAATTAAACCTGCACTTCACTTGGTGTATGTTGAAATTTATGGACATCTTTCAAGTTAAACATTGTCTGAAATTGTGCTTCAGAATTCAATCCAAGTTTTCCTTCTCTTTTCGTGTAGTCGAAACTTTGCCATTTACTGTTATTTGACCACTTGGAAATTAAAGCAAATTCTTTTGAAAAAACTCAGCTGTTCCGTCCACCGTGCATTTAAAAATGTCCCATGTTTCTTGGAATCATTAGTTCATTGTGCGATGATCACAGTCTGCGATTTTTTTTTTAGTGGAGGGCTTGATTCATAGACGAACGTGGTGACCGGACAAATCACACCGAGACGCGGTGACGAGGGTAAGAAGAGATGGTAGCGAACTGGCGTCAAGTGCCGAGGTCAGGATGGGTGTCGATTGCCGGTGCCAGGGGGCCCTGGTGCATGGGTCCCGGCCCCGCGGCCGCGCTGCGCGGTGGGTTCGCACGGGCCTGGCGCGAATTTAATGGGAGGAACAGACGTCCAGGAACAGCCCGTTGTTTTCTCGACTACGGGTTTCGCTTTTTCTGGTGTTTTTCGTTTTGCTCTTACTCCATCTTGTTCCTCGAATTAGTGATAGGGAGAAGAAGGGAATCCACTCTGGAAATAGCTGGAAACCGGCGAAGAAGAAAAAATAGTAATTGCGTTAGATGAAAGCTTTTTACGGTTAGTTTTTCTCTTTCGTTTTCTGCATTTTAGCAGAAGAAAAAAAAAGAGGAGATACATTTGGGGCTGCCTACGTTCTTTCGCGGTCTGTTTCCGTGTCCAGGAAATAGTAAATCGTCTGGGGGCACCTTTTTTCTCTTTCACGGAGAATTTCTCTCGTCTTACTCGTCGCTTGAAAGTTTTATTTCGAGTCAAGGACGATCACTTGGCTGTTCTGAGGTCGTTGTCCCCTTTTTTCTTTATCCCGAGTAGCACTTCTTTTTCTTTTTCTGGAGGGGTCAATTCTTTCGTGCACATTTTTCCCAAGGGCGCCCGAGGAAACGGTCATCCGGCATTCAAAACTTTTCCAACGATTTTCAACAATTAATTGTCTTTTTTTGCTTTTGAATCCCGCTCTGTGAGTAACTGTAAAAATCTTCGCAGCTTACGTTATTTATTTTTAATGCGTTTTGAATATTGGAAATTTTCTGATGTGAAATTTGTTCAGATTCCGGGCGAAACGAGTCACAATATCCGTGGAAATTTCTCTCTGATCATATTGAGAAAATTATTTTCCAATTTGTTTCATCTTCAAGTTTCCCAAATGTGAATGATTTTTTCAATGAATCAGTTCGCACTTGCAGGAAATATAAATACAGTGCATGGTTTCTTAATTTTCTTCACTTGCGGATCCCTGTTCTGAAATTGTTTCCAAGGCGGATTCCTTGGACAATAATTCGGCTTGTCGTGGGTTATGCATATATTGTAGTTGTTCTTCTAGATTTACCGTCGGCTTGAAGTTGAGAGTCTATCCTTTTTAATCGTGGAAACGTCAACCATTTCTGATTTTGTTTTCTTCCATTTCATTATACTGTGCAGTACAATGCAGTACTTCTCTTCAACTTTCTTGAGGGGATGACTGTAGTTTTCGCCAAAGCACCGGTTGGAAACTTTCGCGTTACCTTGATAGAGGGTTCTGGAAGTTGGGGCAAGGATCCGATTTCCACCATGGCCTGTTCTATTCTTGATTTCAGTAGGAGGCGATATTTGTTGAAAGGGAGAGAACCCGTGCGGGAATATTCGGTTTTGAAGATAAACTCAGGATTGGTTAGTTTTTTTTTTATGATCAAATTTCGGCAACTTCTAGAGTTGTTTTTTGTTTCTGCCGAATTTATTTTCCGTTCTAAAATTACTGTTATGCTGCATGTTTCTTTTTTGAAGTTCAGATTATAAGGAGACAAATATTTTGAATCTGTTCCAAATAAATTGCGATGATTCAGGGTGCTCAATAGCTATGCATTTTACTTTGTTTTCTCCATTTTTGGCGAGTCATGAACCCATTCGCCCTTTTGTAGAAAATGATTTTGAGGTTTGGGAATTCTATATCTTGAGGCTGGAATCGATTTCCATCATGATCGTGTTGATCCTTGAAAGGTATAGGCACACATTTTCTTCCGGGGGGGAGAAGTACATTTTGTGCCAGAGCTCTTGACCTCTTCTGCGAGTGCTTCATGCTGACTCCGCTTTTCGAATTCGAGTACAATAGCTGTCCCTGACCCGCGTACTTGAAACTTTCACGAACCATGACGGAAACATCGTCGATGAACGTCGCGGAACAATATTATTTTTTTAATAACTCGTCACTAATCAAAGGAAAGCCCTGGACTCGCGTAGGCCAGAGTCGCGACTGAGGCGCGTCAGGTCTCCTGAGAAAACATGCAGAAGTGGAGGCTCTCCGTCCGTCACGTCGGCTTGTCGACTGTCTTGTTTTATTCCGTGCTTGGGGAAAAATGTAGAGAGAGAAACGAGAATGACTTGATTCATATTCATGACTTCGAGCTTAACAGAGTTTCCATCGGCTTGCGTTGACACTTCGAGTATGAGCCTTTGGAGAAGCGGTCATCGCTGCTGTCCTTTTCAGGGGAAAAATGGTCGTGCGCTTCATTGAGGTTACTGTTATTCCCGCATGAGCGAATTCATGAGAGACTCGCTCTCTCTACAACGAAATGCAAAGGTGGGCAGAAAAATAATTGGTTGTGGAGAGAATTTCCTTGTAGAGAACCTCTATGACGTGGGTAGAGATCCATATTTATTACTGTATATAGAGAACGCAAAAATGATTCCGTATACAGTACACAGGAAATCGCTGAAGAGAGAGTCTACCTTTAATTTCTGTTGAAATGCTTCGGCAATTTTTCAACTCTGACTGATCGTTGACCAGGGTTCCCGAGTGTTTAAAAAATGCTTTAAAATTACTTCTTGTTTTAAAGTAGCAAAGATCAAATTGGGAGCTTGTCCGTCATGTTCTCCCACGTTCTATTGCATGTTACATCAAGTTTCCTGTTTTAATTTCCGGGGTAGATTCGTTTCCGATCTTCATTTTGATGTGTCTTGTTCGAAAAATTTCCCCTTTTTTCACGGAGTACAGTTGCTTCAGCTTGAGGTCTCACTTTTCTTGAATTTTGCGATCGTTTCAATGTGCGTCAGCGATAAAGTACTACAGTACTTCTGGGCGTATTTCTGCCGATTAAATACTCCTTGTATCCTTCCGTGTCTCCAATTCCTAAAAAATGTATTCCCGTCATTCGGGGCTTAGTAAATTACGATTGCTTCGTGTCGAATCGTTTTTCCTGACGCATCATTTTTCCTGAAAAATTATATTTTAATTATCAATTCAGCTAAATTTAACCTGGGATGATCACCGTATTCTGCATATTATGCATTTAGCAAACAAAGCCATTGACGTCGCTTCATTAGCAATTCGAAGTACCCCGAAACAATTTCTCTCTGAAGCAAAGTTTTCTCGGATCATTGATTGAAAATCGTTTGTTCATGAAAGGACATGTTCTGAAATAAATATTGCTGTTTCGTACAAAAAAGCAACTGCCTGGATTGTTACTTGAACTCCGAGATCCATTTGATGGGAATTTGAATGTATAATAAAAAAAATATGAGCTGAAAAATCTAAATTTGATAATCTCTCTTTTTCAAGTTTTGTATAATCAATCGGTATTTCTGTGCATCAGTCCATGCCAAGCCTTCATGGTTTCTGGCGGTTTTCCGTGAGTTTAGAATTCATTCCCCAATTTTAAAACACGGTTTCTAGTTTTAATCTACAAACTTTCATCCCATCGTATGCAAATTCGATCAATGGAACGTTTCAAGTCATGAATCCGATTGGGAAACCGGAGGTGGAATGTGTCGGGAAGGTTTTTACTTTTCGTGCACCAGTTTGTTGCGGTAGAAATGTTCTCTGACCCCTGAAGAAACCTGTGTGTTGATGAAAATGTCGGAATTACCTTGGAAGACCTGGAGGCAACCCTTGAAATCAATGCCACGTTGATTTCAAGAATTCTGAGGGGAAAGCTGAGCTACAGCAACGAAATCTGCAGGAAGGGCTCCTCATCTTTTGAGTGGACAGCAAAACTCTGCCAGGGGGAATTTTGCAAAACATTAAAAAAAATTGTCAAACAGGGCTGGATTTTTGTGTGCCAAAGAATATCTTTTCCCTAAAGAATCATTTTTTCCCAGCTCGATTATACGCCATTTTCATTTCTATTCCAAGAACTTTTGTTGGAACCCTCGTACATATACAATACAGTAGAGTCACAACTGAATTTTAATACGTACTGTCTGTCGATTCTCAGGTTACTGTATTCATATTTCGAGTATGATTGGACGAGTTGACAGAACTGGCCGGGAAGGCCTTACTCTCTTCCAACGATTCTAATGAGAGCTTGTTCCGATCACATCGGCTGGACAGATATCAAATGGGTTGTCGGTGAAACTTTCCTATTGAGCCCCCAGAAACTTCGGGGCATTTTTTCGGTAACTGGACTAATGATATACGGTTGCTGAGTATGTCGACGAATATTTCCCGTAATGGCCGACTTTGATACTGATGGATGAGATCAGTGACTCGAAAAGTTTATGCCGGTTCGAGTTGTCACGTACGTGCCGTATTCGGATTGCGGCCTTTCCCCTGAAACCCCTCTCGAAGAGGGGTTTACGATCCATTGAGGATACAATTCGGGCGTCAAGGCATTTTAGGTGAAGATGAATCGATGTTCCACTTGGGATTCTGCTCTTGGACGTGAACTTTCGACATATTTCAAAATACAGTGTTATTCAATTCTCGAATTACTTCATTCATAGCGCATTTCCGGAAGTTTATTTATTGCGAAACTCATAAATGCCAATTATGTCAAGCGTTCTTTGCTTCGTCGTCTCCATTTAGTCGAGGTCAAATTACCAAAACTTTTTTTTTTGAAGACGACTTGACTGAAATAGCTGCGCAAAAATCAACGTTAAATTTTTTCCTCCGAAGTTCGAAATTCAAATTTTAGTAGGTATCTATGAGTTACTTGAACACCCTGATTCTCTTCTCGTGAATTGGCGAATTATGCAGCTCTGGAAATGAATTTCCTTGAAGTGATCCGTTTTAGCTGTGCAATCTTTTCATGTAGTCATTTTCTATAATATTTTGAAAATAGATACATTATATAGTGATGCAACTTGAGAAACGTGTGGTTTACGAATATTTCACCCCGAGGAAGTCGAACTTTTTGTGGAATTGCGGCTTCCTGGAACCCAATATTATCCAGACAAGTTTTCTGGATAGGTTATATAGGATTGAAAAAGACCGCGTTTGAACTCAACTTTTTATTGGATTGAACCTTTCGCTATATCATGTGTACAGGTTCTTGGCGAAGTTCTTACCCCTTCATGTTCCTTGCCATGTGGAAATGCCTCAATAATTTTTATTTATTCTGAAGCTATTTATTACAAGAA